AGATGCTGGGACATCCCCACAGCTGCAAGTCCTATCCCTATCTGGTGGCCTGGCACAGCTAGGAGCAAGGTTCAGCCCCAAAACCCACATCCCAACAGCTGCTGGTGGGTCACTCTGGTGCAGAAAACCATCTACCCTGCTTTCTTCACCCTCAACAGCCACCTAAGAGCTTCGATTGGGAACCCCCCCCCCTAAAGTGCTGCTGAAGCAACTCAGTAAAGCCCTTCCCGGTGCCCAGTTCCCATCAGGGGCTGCCCCTTTCCTGAGCCTAGCCGGGAGGAAAGGCCAAGCGAAAAGACCAGGGGTGTTCCCATGCCCCAGGGACTATCCTCAAGCCAGGCAGCAGGCGCACACCCTCATCAGCACGGGGCTGTTCTGGAGGGGAGCAGGGAGCGTGGGCTGGCTTTCTGCACGCGCCATGCAGAGGAGAGCATCAGGGCACCAGCAGGATGCTGGCAGCTGTGATATTTGTGTGTTGTGGCTGGGGGGGTTTTTTTGGGCTTTCTGCCAGCCTGCTTTCTATGGTGCAGGTTTCAAGGCCTCCAGTTAATCTCTTTGGCACCTGCCAACCTGCTGATGAAGTCTATATTTAGATGATAACCTCCTCGGACCAAGGCAGAAAGCCCCACCACGCCTTGTAGTTTTTGTACAGGAAGGTCTCGCTTGGTCCCTGGCAGAGGCAGATGGATGGGATCAGAAAATACCCTTTAGGCTGGGGGATGTGGCTTTGTGAAGATGCTGGCAAGGACTGGAAAGAGCCCTGCTGAAGGCCAGTCCATGAGATAAGACAGGCTCCTCAGAGGCTTCCTACTGGGCCTATGGTCCTGGCATGACTGATGGTGATGAGAGAGAGAGACTGCTGCCTGAGACCCATCTGTGAGCTCAGGAGATGTCACCTACAAAGCATGAGAGTCCCCAAGGGGCCACGGTCCTCCCATAGCGGCTGTGGCTGCAGAAGGAGCCCCTGCTGCCTGGTGAAGGGAGTGCAGATCCTCCCTTAGCCGGGTTACTTTTGATGCTAGATGCTCAGGGCATGCTCGGCCTGGGAGGTTCAAGGCTGTGTTGTGGGGCGCTGGAGCATGCTGTGGTGATGTGTGTGGGCAGGACAGACCACACTGCCCCTGCCCCCATCCATGGGGGCCCCAGCTGACATCACTTGCCTCCAGGCTAATCTCTTGTCCAGCATCAGTTTCCCGTTTCCTTTCCAATCTCTGCATTGCAGGGCGGCTCCTCTCTGCTTGGAGCCAAACAGGAAAAGCTGTCCAGCTGGGATCTCCTGCAGGGCTGCAGCCCTCGCTTGCCCAGCCCTCACCCAACAGGGCCACTGCTCCCATGGCATCCCTGAGAGTGCACCCAGAGGGTCTTGTGTCCTTCCACACCCCACCTAGAGCCCTGCTTTCCCCCTTGCTCAGGCGCTTGAGCGATGCCAATACACGGTCCCCTTCCTGTTTGTGCCACAGGAAATCTAGCAGTGGCATATCATTTAGTAAGAAAATGCCAGTCTTCGTCTCCCTGCACCCCTGGGGTCCATGGTGGCCCCTTTGCCCAGCCCCATGGGTATTGTCCGGCTCCCCAATTGGGAAGATGCTGGGCACCAGAAGCTCTGCCATGTCCCAGCACAGGTTGTGGGCCAGTCTCCCTGCTACACCAGCAGCCCCGGCCCTCCCGGTGTGCCCTGGTGCCACCATCAGCCTGGACGTTTTGGGCAGCAGGCTGGCCTGAAGCATCACCTATATCAGAGCCTTGGTGCCACCTTCACCATGGCTCCCTGGTGAGGAGGGATTCTCCATCTCCACCTGGCCTTTGTGTTCAGATGGTTGCTCCTCACACCTACTTAGGGCTGGCTAAAAATAGCCCTGCAGCAAAAGCTGCAGCTTGGTTATTGAAAAGACACATCTGGGGAACAAGAGAGAAAACGCTGCTTCCAGCAGCATTGGGGCTGTGCTGTGATCTTTGCCCCAGCATGCTGGGGGGTCTAGGTGCCAGTGGGCTCTGCCCCACCAGGGGAGCAGCCAGGGTGTTTCATGCCCTTGCCCCAGCCACAGCGGCCGTCACAGCTATGATTTCTTGTGCACCCCGTCACAAATATTGGAAAGTGTTTTTTGGGGCAGATTTGAGGCCATGTTGCACAGTGTGATGCTTCCTTTCATGGCACCAACAAAAGTGGCATTGCAAAAAGCTACTCCCTGGCCAGGGTAAAATCATGCCAGTACCTACATGCTGTGGGGTACCCTCCATCTGCTGATGCAGTGGGAGCATCACAAGCTCTTTGTCTCTCTTGGAGGGACATCTGTGGAACTGCTCTGCTCCTCATGAAAAAGGGCCTCCTCGCTCCAGGCATTGCAAGGGGGAAGCCTGCACATCTGCTCCCCTTAGTCCTCAGTGTTTTCCCTGCAGAGGTGGCTTCTCACCCCTGCTCTGCCTGCTGTGACTGGCCCAGCTGCAAATCGTGGGAGCTGGCTGTCCCAACGGCCAGGCTCTCCTCTGCCCCCGCTCAGTACTCTCTGCAGAGAGATACACACATGTGATGTTCCCCTGCAGCTGTGCAGGGGACCCACATGATGTAACAGGGTGCCTAAAGGGGCATAATGAGCATCTGTGCCTGGGCTGCTGTGGTGGGTTTCCAGGCAAACTGGGGAGGAGAAGGGTGGCAGTACAAAGTTGTGCTGGAAGCAAGCATGGAGCAGCAGCACTTGTAGTTTGTGGGGAGGCTGTGAGGGGTAGGGGTGACCAGCAAGCATGAGACTGTGGGGGGGTCAGAGGAGCCACAAAAGTCCTGGTTGCTGGTGGTGACCTGGAAGTAGAAGGTGAGGACACTAAGGAAGAGCCCCACAGCACATCCAGCTGGGCTTCAGGGCCATGCACTCATGGGGCCACCAAAGTCAGGTCAGGTTGCATGCCCTGGGGACTACTGAGGGGTTAGCCCAGCTCATGGGACAGCTTAGCCTCACTGGCAAGAGTAACAGCTTGCTAGCCCCATTACTGCCTGGGCAGAGATTTGGCTGTGAGAGCAGCTCCCATGCCCTGACCATGTCCTCTCATCTTAACCCTAAACCTTGCTAGGCAAGTCTTAGATGAATACCGTTAGCAATGATAGCTCCCTTCTTTTTTATTGGCCAAGGCAGATCAGGCTTAAAATTGTCCAAGGTAGAAATCCAGCAGCCGTAGGCAACCTTGCAGTGTGGAGCGAATGGGAGGATAGAGAATCCAGCATTTGTCAGCTCACTTCATCAGTGATGTCCATCTAGACTGTCCTTGTTGTCCAGTGGAAGCTGTTTTGTGCCCATGCAGCCACCCACGCACACATATGCATGGACAGAGGCACAGTGCCTGCATGTGCACGGTCACACTCAGTCATGCACAGGCCCACATCCTCCATGTGTACATGCACACAGGGAGGTTCACAAATGTGCAGTGGTGTATCTGGCTTCTCTCATTGAACTGGTCTGAAATGAGCTCAACATGGTTGCAGGACGTCCAAAGGGTATATGGCCCAGCTGGATGCATCATCAGGATTCAGATTTCAAATTAGAGTGAGAGCAAACTTCCTGATCCCCAGGCAACCCAGAGGGTCCCTCTGGCCTGTTGCAGAGCTCTCGTCATACTAACAAAATAAAATCATCATGACCACAAATCAGAGGCGTGATACAGCAATTAAACATCTGGCTCTCATCTGCTCAGGAGACAGAGGGCATGGGGAGCTCAGGCTCCCTCATCCCACACCTTATTGTAGCCTGAGTTCATAGTCTGGGGGGCTGTTCCTAGCCTGCTTTACACTCTGGTTCACTGGCATGGCATCCTTAGGTAGCATTTGTCCTCCAGGACGTTCTCACAGTGCCTGCTGCTGTGGACAAGGTGTACTTTGAGTTGTGATCCAAGGCCTTGCTCTCCTATTATATTACTGGGGTGGGGGGGGGCCTCCTGTGCCCACCACATCATCGAGGCTTTGCTGCAGCAAGACTGGGGGCAGTATGAGTCTCTGATGGTGCAGAGGGGAACTGGATGTGAACGGTGCCCTCAGCCAAGCCCAGCACCTCCCTTGACCGTGATGCGTCACAGTCAGATGCTGCCAAAAGCACAACACTGGCAGCAGGACAGGAATGGGCTGGCTGCAGAGTCTGTACCCAGGGCCTGGCCTTGTAACCTGCACTGTGGTCAGCAGTGTCCAAAATCCCCTCCACCTTAGGGCAAGGCTGCACTGGGGCTGCCCATGTGGCACCTGAACCCAGGTGAAGCGACATGGAGCCAGGCTCCAAGCCAAGCCAGGGCAGACGGGGTCCTCCAAGAGTGCTTTGCCTAGGGGCTTCCAGTGTGACTGGCACTGGCCTGGGGCAGACTGCAGCATAGGCCTCTGCTACCCCACTGCTGACCCCTTACTCCCAAGTAAGGGATACCCTGGGCTATCAGGACAGTGGTGACACAGGACTGGGCTGTGGCCAGGGATATTGCAATTAGCTGCTCCCTGTCACCATCCCTGCATGGGCTACAGGGCCCTGTCAGCAGGATGGTGCTGCTCTCCTATACCTTGTTCCTCAGCCTACTAGAGTGCTTGGCCAGGGTCTCCTGGGGTCTCTCCAGGGATGAGCAGGAAAATGTGGCTGCATTCACTATGGAGCAGGGACCATGGGAACTTCTTTTAGCTCCCATGCTACCACTGTTCTCAAGATCCCAGAGGTACCCACCACCCTGGGTCTGGCTGCTCCCAGGCACAGCCTAGCACTGCTCTGGCCCATCCTTTGCTGGATGAGACACTACCACTCAGCGCAATGTCCCCTCCACCCTTGTTCACCTGTGAGCCATGGCCTGGGTTAACACCATCCTGGCCATCTCACCCAGGACTCGGCAGCAAGGAGAACGTCAGGGCATGCTCGGAGGGTGATGCCAGGTGGCTTGCTGCCTTGTGTCAGGCAAGTGCCATCCTGCCCCCATCAGCCCAAAGCTCTCACGCACACAAACCGATCCCTTTATTGTTCTGCTAGAAACCACAGTAGCAGCAAACACTGAGGGAATCCACAAGACAGGTGCGCAAGGTATTGTGAACAGAGACAGTCAAAGCACTGCCACCAGAACAAGCCCCTCACAACACCACTCGGGGAAGGGGTCCCCAGGCATAGCTGGACTGGAGTCTGCCCATGGACATGAGCCTCACACACAGAAGGGGTTTCGGGGAGGGGTGCTCTGTGAGACAGAGGTCACAAGGCCTAGGAGGGAACTTGGTGGGCTAGCGTGCAGCCAGCCTGAACGTGGGGCTGGCAGAGCAGGACCCCAGGCCAGACGGGGTCTATCCAGACCCCACGCTATCCCTGTGCTGCTGCAAAGCCTGAGCAAGAACCCCAGGTTCACCCATAGATCATCTAATTCTGGACCTTTGAGAGATACCAGGGACCAGTCAGAAGGTCTTACAGCAGTAAAGGGATATCCAAGTGGCAGGAAGCCTCCTTCCCTCTCTCACGGTGCACCCAGCCTCTCCTCAGGGCACTCACTCCCTTAGCCAGCTCTGTCACCTGCATGAGGACTCTTCCGTGGGCCACCACAGCCCCAGTGCAAGGGGACTAGGGTGCTCTTCTGCCTTCTTTGCAGGACCCAAACTGCAGGCTCCCATGGGCAGGGGGCTTGGCACCCCAGGGGCAGCGTCCTCCTGCCTGGGGTAGTGGGGATCTACGATGAAGGAGCTGTGGGGGCAGACAGATGATTAGGGCCCGGGGGGCAGCCCCCTTGCTGCCAGGCCCCCACGGTTGCAGACAGGCATTGGCCCATGCCCCGGGCCACCAGTGAGGGCTCAGGCCTCGTGATCGCTCATGTTCAGGTGGTCCTCAGGCAAGCCAGTCTCATCGATATTCTCCAGTGAGTCGGCGTGCTGCACCGACAGCTCGTCCAGGCTGACACTGGGCAATGTGTTCTGCTCTGGGTACACCCAGGGTTTGTACTCAGGGTCGTGCTTGTGTTTCCACTCTGGATACTTCAGCCCTGCCTTGTAAATTTTCTTCATTGCCTGTGGGTAAAGCAGGTTCAGCCTGTCACAGCCACCCCAAGCACACGGCATGGTCGTACTCACTCTGCTCACACCAGGAGCCCTGAGCCCCCAACAGGGATGGAGCCTTCCTGGTCCATGGGTACACCTCTCAGCTTCCCTGCTGCTCATTCTTCTGGGGCACTGGGCAGAGGATGGGGGTGCTGGCTTGGACCACCCAGCCCAGGTTCTTAAGTCCCAGCTGCCTGCCCAGTGTATTCCCTGCAACTCCTCTGGTCACCCAGCACTCACTTTGCCTTTACCCAGTGGGCTGCTTCAGGGCAGCTCATCGCCTTATGGGGAACAGGGCTGGGCTCCGACTGGGGCAGTAGCAAGCAGGACTGAGAGCTCATAACCCTGCAGGGAGCAGTATGAGGCTGACCCTGAGCCTGCAATGCTGGTGTTCCTGGCATGCCACAGTCAGGAAGTGGCACGGACACCCAGCATGGGCTCCTGGCAACTTGTGGGCTGACTGTCCTCATAACTGACAGTTAGAGGGTCTCCAAGGGCTGGCCAAGAGCTTTGTCACTTTCACACAGAGAGTCCCCTTCCTCCACCCACTGCAGGCCACACACTTTGCTTACCTTTGGTGCCACAAACTGGGAGACTCGGTTCACCACCCACTTTGGCAGCGACCCTGCAAGATCCCAAAGCCCAGTCACCAAGCTAACCAGAGCCAGCCCCCCGGGAGGAGACACCATGAGCCTCTGAAATCCCTGCCAACTCACTGGCCCAGCAGCAGCGCTTGGCTGGGGTGCCAGGTGCCACCTGATGCTGGGCAGAACTGCAATGGCAGTGCCCACTGGTGAGGTTGGTACATGCTCTCCCTGACCCAGCCCCTGCACGTGCTGCAGCACCCGCTCCGAGAATGAACTGCCTAAGCCCCCTTGGGCTGATGGCAGCTGCCCCACACTATGCCCTGGGATATGTTTCCCCTCTGCCCTGGGTTGTCCCCTCTTCCCAGGGCTCTTCTGGCCCAGGCAGTGCCCTCAGGGTGATGGAGGCACTGTTGGGTGAGCTCTGGGAAGACAGCAGGGCCAGGCCAGGGGAGTGACCAGCCCCGAGGACACACATTCCACCTCCTCTGCTGCTGGCACTCACCTCGGGGGTCCACCTGGGTGAGGTAATAGAGGATGCAGGCACCGGTGCCATTTGCCTTGATCAGGTAGCCTGTCTGCAAGGACACAGCCCTCACAAAATCCTTCCGGGGTGGGTATTTCTGTGGAGAGACGTGACACACCTCAGAGCCTGCTTGGAGCCACTGCCCAGCTCTGTGCGTTGTGCCTCGGCCTGTGGCTCCAGCAACCCTGCACAGGGTCGTGCTGGCTGGACACTCACCGGATGCTTAACGCTGTAATTGATGATTATGTAATCATTGCCCAGGGGCAGCCAGGAGCGCAGGGTGACAAAATCTCTGTTCTTCAGGGGACTTGGGCACTTCCCTGCAGAAAGAGCCTGTTACCACCTAGACCTGCAGCCCCCAAGGGCCTGCGTACCGGTGCATGGGTGTAGGGTTGGAGGGGACGCAGGGGCACCTCAGGGCACAAGGATGCTCACAGGAGTAGTATCCCACGTCAGCGTTGACAGTCAGGCGCCCGATGTCGTAGGTCTCGATCATGTTTGAGTCCCATTTCTTGCGGTAATGGGTATCATGCAGCACATCATAGAGCGTCTCGGCAGGGACATCCTTGCAGGAGATGCGTGTCTACAGAACAAAAGCAGGACTGAACAGTGTGCACAACTGCCTGCTGTGCTGGCTGGCAGAGCCACACACAGCCTGGCTCAGCGGCACAGGGAGCCTGGGGCAACAGGGCTCTGCAGCAGGCACCCTGCCCACCTGGCTGGACCTTGCAGGCCCTCTGCTTGTCACTGGGTGATCTATGGGTGCTGATTGCATTGTGACCCCATGCTACCTCTGTGGGCTGGCTTTGGGTCCCAGTGCACAGCATTGCTCTGTTCCCATGGTGGGCTTGGCGCTGCCAGTGTGCCGCACAGTGCAAAGATGGGAGGGTGACAGGACGTGGCAGGACTATTTGCCCTCATACTGTGCTGCCTGGATTGCCTGGCTCTAGCACCTGGGTCACTTGACCCCAGAGGGGAGGAGTAGCCAACATCAGCAGAAAAGCAGCAAGAATAAGGTCTCCTGCTTGGCTTATTTCCGCCCCAACCTTGTCCCCTCAATCCACCTGCCTGCCAGCCAAGTAAATGGCCATTCCCACTCTGGCTAAATCACCGTGATGCGCTCAGGTGTGTCAGGGTCCGGTTTCCCTCCCTGTGCTGGCGGGCTGGTAAAGTTAGCCGGGCCCCAGCTGTAACGAGAGATGCGGAGCTGGGAACCAGAGCTGCAGGCCTGCACCCCATCTGTGCAGGCAAGTGCATTATTGGTGAACCGGGCTGGCCCTGCTCCTCTCGATGCCGGGAGGAAGGAGATGTCATCTGCTCCTCATTAGAGGCCTTGCATCTTTGATGAGGCATTTGGCAATGCCAAGTAATTGGAGACAGCCCTTTGAACACTTGCTGGCAGGTCCCATCAATCTCGGACAAGCTTTCCCTAATGACTAGGGTGATCATGCCTGTCCTGTACCCTGGATGTTGCACCCAGGACAGGCCTGGAGAAGTGCTGTGCTCCTCAGGGTGCACTGGAGGATCAGATGGGAACACCCAGCCCTTTCCTCCTGCTCCATCTTCCCTCCCATCCCCACTGAGGCTGGGTTTGGACATACTGCTCCGGAAAAGTAAATGCTGCTTCCACCCAGAGGTGGAGCGCACAAGTCCTCATTGGGCTCCTGGAGCCCAGTGGAGCACTGGAGATCCACTTATCACAATAGGGCCCTAGCAGAGTTCTTGCTTCACTTTCCTGAACTCCTCCCCAGCCTCCTGCCAACCATGCCCAAACAGGTGCTGTGCAATGGCCTCACCAGACAGAGTCGGATGTTAGCTAGGACTGGGAAGACACAGAGACCAAAACCAGGCCAGAAGGAAGTTTCCACAGGGAGGAAGTCAAGTGCAAAAGGCTAGAATCTCCCCATGCCCATGCAGGGACTCTCCAGATTATATCTATATTACTAAAAAGATCAGGGTGGTTATGACCCAAAAGCACCAGCCTGGTGCAGCTTGAGACTTTGCAGCTCAGGCCTCCCTCCCAAACAGGGTAACCGCCTCCATTCCTTCTTTTGGGAATGACCTCTGGGAAGTGCTATCCTTTGCACTGTGCCTAGGCCCTGCTTGGCATGGGGGAAAAGCCACACCAGGAAGGTGTTACCAATAAAACTGGCTGGGTGGCTGTGGGACAGTGCTCAGACCCCACTGAATTGTTCAGAGTCCTCTGTGGGCTCAGTGGCTGTTTGCAAAGGGGGATATAGTTCTGCATCCTCTCTACAGGGTTGTGTTTGCCTGAACTTCATTGAAGTTCATGAGTTTCCTGCCAGCCCATTTCTCCAGCCTGTCCAGGTCATGCTAAATAGTTGCCCCACCTCCAGCACATCAACCACTCCCCACAATTTGGTATTGTCTGCAGATTTACTCAGAGAGCACTCAGTCTCATCATCCTAGTCTAATGAAAATGTTAAACAGGATGGGACCCAGCAAGAACCCCTGAGAGAGATGCCACTGACAACCTGTTGCCACTTGGACTTTGTACTGCTGATTACCACCTTGCAAGCCTAGTTGTCCAGCCAGCTTTTTACCCACCTTATTGTCCGCTTCCCCAGTCCAGACCTCACCAATTTGGCTGTGAGGACACTATGGGAGACCATGTTAAAGGCCTTCCTGAAGTCAAAGTACAGAGCATCCTCAGCTCTCCCTATATCCACGCAGTCGGTAATCTCATAGAAGAAGGCAGTCAGGCTGGTCAGGTACAATTGACCTTGGTATGTCCCCGCAGGCTGTTCCCAGTGCTCTTGTCCTTCAGGTGCCTGGACATATCTTCCAGGAGGATGTGCTCCATCACCTTCCCAGGCACGGAGGTGACACAGCAGCCTGTAGTGCCCTGGAGCCTCCTCCTTGCCCTTCTGGAGGGTGTATGTGATATTTGCCTTTCCCCAGTCACCAGGGACCTCTCTTAATCACCATGGCCTTACAAAGAGGCTAGAGAACAGCCTCACAGTGACATCAGCCAGCACCTTCCCATGTGTCCTATCAGTCCTGTGGACTTGTGCATGTCTCCCTGGCTTAGGAGCTCCCTGTATCTGTTCTCTGTTCCTAACCCACAAACTCTTGCCTGGCTCACCACTCGTTCTGTGGCAAAGCTGCATGGATTGCAGGTATTTATCCGCAGAGTGCATGACTCCTCCTCCTCCTTGCCTTCACAGCCTGGCTGCCCTGAAGGGCCTGCATCCATCCATTGCAGCACTGCAACTTTGTGAGCTGTCCCACTATGTCTCAGTGACCCCAAGGAGGCCACAGTCCTGCAGCTGCATGTGGCACATTCAGCTCTTCCTGCCTGTCTCCCAGGCTGTGTGTGCCTGAGATGTAGGCACCTGAGATGGGCTCCAAGTCACTCTGCATTCCTAAGCAGTTGAATTCAGACCTGGGGGAGAGCCTCACACAGCATGCTGTACCCCAGTTGCTTCCTCACTGTCTTCCCCCTCCCCCCCATGCCTTTCCTGCTCTTCAGATTATATTAACACTTCCCTGACATACTTAGTTTAAAGTCCTCCTTACCAGGTTGGCCAGCCTGTTGGTAAAGACTCTGACCCCATTTGTTCGGATGGATCCCATCCTTGCCCAGCAGTCCTCCACCCTCAAAGAGGATCCTGTGGTCATAGAAGCCAAAGCTTTGCCTGACATGCCAGTTGTGTAGCCAAGTGTTGACCTGCGGGATATGCCTGCTCCTACGCAAGCCTTGCCCCTTCACCAGCAGCACCAAAAACACGACGGGGCCCCTTCAAACCCTTCACCCTTGCCCCAGTGCCCTGTAGTCACTAGTCACTCTTGATTTGCTCAGGGTCACCTAGAAGTGCCACTGATGCCCATGCAGGTGAGCAAAAAGGGATAATCAAGGGCTGAGTGCACCTCACTAGTCCCTTTGTGACATCCCCGGTCTTGACCCTGGCAAGCAGCAGACCTCCTGCGACAACAGGTCAGGTCAACACGTGGAAGACTCTTAAACTCTTGGGGGCACTTAGCCAGTACAGGATGAAGGCAGTGTGCCCCAGGACGTGTGCCCTGCATCTCACGCCCTGGGGCTCCCGACAAGAACAGTCTCCACAGTGTAATTGATCCCAGGGCCTTGCTGCCTGTGTCCAGAACAAGGACAGTCACACTTGCAGTGTGCAAGAGCCCCTGAGTGCTCATACGTATGTGCAATAGGACATGTTTCATGACACATTTAGGGAGACTAGCCCAACCAGTCCCTGGGCATTCAAGGCAGAAACATCCCTGGTCTGCAGCCAGGCTGGACCAGTGCAGTGCACAGCCGGGGAGGGTAGCGCCTGGGGGACCCTTGGGATCAGTTCCAGCCCCAGAACAGGAGGGCATGCAGCACAGCCTGGGCAGACAGGGACTGAGGCAGGAAAGGGCTGGCAGTCCCGTGTTTGCTGGCATCCACTTACCTTGATTTTCTGTACAGTGCAGCTTTCTTCCTGGCCCTGACTCCACACAGTCACGCCACCCTTGTTATACCGGCAGTGCCAGCCTTCCAGGTTCTCACACTGATCTCTGAAGGAGCTGAAGTCGGAGTCATCTGGAATATAAACCATCTCCCCTCCTCTGGACATGGGGCTGAGGTGCTGGACCCAGAGTAAGCAGGCACCGGCTGCAGGCAGGCTCTTTCTGCCTCACCTCCTCGGAAGCCCAGGGCCACCTTTCTGGCTCTGCCCTTGAGCTCTGCCACGCTGCGTGCCTGTCCCAGCTCACACGGCCCTCCTCATCCTCTGAGCCCTGAGTTCGTGTCCTTGGTGGTAGGCACCAGCCATGCAGGCATGCCAGGAACAGGTAGCCCCTGGCCAAAGATGTCCAGTCTCCCCGGCCACGCTGCACAGCACCGAGCAGCAGGGAATAAGGCTTCTTCAATGCAGTTACTAATGCAGCTGCTGGAAGCTCAGATATCTTCCCCGGCTGGCTACAAGGATCACATTTCTCCCCAGCTGGCTGTCAGCTCTTCTATTATTCAGCAGGTAACAGCACTCAGGTAGCTCAGTTTTCAGGGCAGAGCCGCCTTGCCTCCCAGAGCCCCTGGCCCTCCTGGCCCTGCTCTCCCCTTGCCGGCACAGAGAATCTCTGTGTTTGACTTTGCAGTACCAGCTTGCAGAATCAGCTGATCACCTGCCAGGAGCAGCAGCCAGACCTCCTAATAGCACGGCAGAAAAGATGAGATCTAGTGACTGTGGGACACAGGCCAGCACAGTTCCTGGAGTGCTTGAGATGGGGCTGCAGTTTCAAAGAGCAGGATTTTGGCCATCAAGGCTGCCTATGGCTGCTGAGGGGACTTCCAGCTTGGGGAGAGCTCTCCATTGGGCAGGGAGGGAAGGAAAAGGAATTCCAGGTGGAGAGGTCCTGGGGTGGGGGGAGTGATGATGGGGACTGTTGGATATCAGCAGCCCACCCTATCATGGCTTGTGTTGGGAAACGACTGTGCTCCTGAACATCCTGCAGCTTTTACCCCTAGCTTGGTGTTGTCTCTATCCCAACCTCCTGCTTGGAGCAGAAACATTGTTGGCAAGGTAAGGTCAGCTATGGCTTTGCCCAGTTTCGTCTTGGAGACTGCAGAAGATGGATATCCCGCACCTCCCTGGTAACCTGTTCCAGGGCTGCACCACCTCCCTAGAAATGTTTTTTTCCTGCTGTCCAGCCTGAACTCCCTGAGCTGCCATTAATGTCCATTGTCCTTTGTTACATCATGTGTCCTACCAAGAAGAGTGTGGTTATTCTTTGCACCTATGCTCCAGGGAGCTGAAGGCTGCTGTTAGATTCCCCCAAGCCTTCTCTTGGCTGGACAATCCCAACCCTTCTCTGCTGTAGCCCTGTGCCCTGGCTGTCCTGGTAGCCTCTGCTGGCCCCTCTGCAGCTCTTCCACCTCTACTCGAAGTGGGGGAGCCAGTCCAAGCACAGCACCCATGTGTGGCCTTCCTGGTGCTGAGTAGAGGGGACAACAACTTCTCTCAGTCTGCTAGCCATGCTCCTTCTAACATGGCTCAGAATTTATTTTGCCCTATATGGGATAAAAGAGCACTGCTGGTTACATTCCACCCTTGTCCGCTGTCATGCCCAGGTCCTTTTCAGTGGGGCTCTGCTTAGCCTCATTGGTTCCCAGCCTGGATGAAGCCTGGGATTATCTGACCCTTGCACAGAACTTGGCACTTTTCCTTGTTGAAGTCTATGAGGTTTCTTTTGGCCTCATCTTTGAGTTACTCAAAGTGCCTCTGGACAGAGGATCTGCCTTTTGCTGTACACCCATTCCCCTAGTTTAATTCCACCTACAAATTTGGCAATGGTGTGCTTTGTTTCCTCATCCAGATGATCACTGATGAAAACGTTAACCAACACGGCCTGAGTACTGACCCTGGGGAACACTGAGACCAGCTGCCAACTGGACGTTGAGCCATTAATCACTGTCATTTGGGCCTGGGCAAAAGCAATGGAAGAGCCTCAACTCTACCGGAAGACTCGCAGATTGCTCAGCAATAAATTGGTGAACAATTCCCTGGAGAGAAGTCATCCCCTACCTCTGACCTGCAGCCCGGAGGGAGTCCGGACTCCCTTGGGCACCTTCTCAATAGCTCTCACTGCTGGATGCTCCCAGCTGAGGCCCTTTCCCCTTAACAACCTGACCCCAAAGCCCCAGGCTCCCTTTTCTCAAAAATATCCATGCACGGCTCTGTGAGAGCCCCTACCGTCTCTCTGCATGCTGGGGTGGGTGCCCCTGAGTACTGCTCATCTTCTTCACCCCACCTGTCATTCACCTGCCCAGTCATCTGTGTTGGGACTTGACACCTCACCTGGTTTCATCCAGGAGAATCTATCCATCCCTCCATGCCCTGCTGCCTGTTTTCCTTGCCTCTCCTGCCTCCTGAGCCTAGACTGCTGCTGGGCTCCCAACCATAGTCCTCGAAGAGCTAGGAATGGAGAATAAAGCTGGCTTCTTCCCAGCACAGCCCTGCTGTCTCGCACGGTTCATCTCTGATTCTCATTTTCAGTCCTTTTGCCTGGCAGACAGCCTCTTCCTCAGATGTTTGCATAACATCAGCTGACACTGGTGACCAGCAGCTTGTGCGTGTCTTTTGGTTCACGACTGCGCTCTTCGGTGGCGCTGAAAGCAGGGAGAAAGTTGGAGAGGTGCAGTCACTTGCAAAGTTTTGTCTGGCAGAGGGTAGGGAGGCTGTTTGGCAGGGGATGGGGGGATGATTGACAGGCTGTGCTGGGAGCCTGGCTCGCAGGCTGGCTGCATCTGCTTGGGCTGGAGCGCAGTGGATTCAGCGGGCACTTCTCCACACAGATAGGCTTGTTGAGGGTGCTGCATATTTCACAGCTTAAGCTGGCTGTTCTGGGTGCTACGGCCTTCTGCTGGGGAGGCAGAGCTGCCAAATGCCATGCTTGGTTAAAGAGCTGCTGCAGCAAGCAGAGAGCAGCAGATCCTGAGTTGGGAACACTGCAGAAGCAAGACTTTGGAATGACCTTGGGGCTGGGCCCAGAGGCCTGTGAGGCAAGAAGCAAGCGAGGCAGCACAGCATGGTGGCTTTATGGACTAGAGCTCTCTCACACCTTTGATTTAGAGTCCTATGAGGTGCACGCATGAGTGCGGGCATGTGTGTACTTGCACACACACGACACACACGACAGCAGGTGGCGCGGAGAGCGTGGGGCTCCAATGGCTACCTGGAAAGGAGCAGACTGCCTGCCTGCAGCTGCCAAAGTGGGAGCCAGCCCTGCCTTGCCTGTCATCTGTACTGGGCAGATTTCCTCCTGCAGCTGAGATGTGGGAGCATTTCTCTCTCTGGGACAGGATGGAGACTTGAATGGAAAGTACTTTCCTCTCTTCTGCAGCAGCCGAGGCTTCCTGCAGCTGCAAGCCGTATCCTCAGGGTTGGTGTTCAATCTGGATGGCAGCGCAGCCACCCGTGAGCTTGGTGGTCACTGTCACGTGTCCCCTGCCAGCCACCTGCTGAGCTCCGACAGGTTCCCCCAACCATTGCAAACACAGTCTTCAGGGCTCAAACCAACCCCATTCGCCTCTGTCCTTGGCTCTTCTGGACCCAAGGGCTGGATCTGGCTGACACAAACCCAGCCACACTATGGGTCTCCCTGGGAACTGAAGCTTCAGC